GGAATGCCTACGTCTGTTCCCATTCAGGCATATTTTGCGGTTTCAGTGCAGACAGCAAAACTAACCGTGGAATGTTTCCAGTAGAGGATGATCTCAGGAATGTTCTCCGTCTTCTCCACCATCGTGTATTTGCTCCAGTCTTTACTGCTGATTGTTATCAGGCCATTCTTATCCACGCTTTAAAAGAAAGAGAAAGAAAAACTAAGCTGTGGATGCACTCATTCCAAAAAATATTTCAGTGGATGATATGGATTCATGAAATTACCTCTTAAGGGCTTTTTCTGCATTCTGCAGGGAGATATGTACACCAAGGTCTCGAAGAGACTGCACGAACTCTTTAGGTTCAACACAGCCTTAAAAGGAAACAGACAAGTTGTTAATAAAAAAAAGCTATGACACACCTGCAACACAACCGAAACCTCAGCCAGGGCAGCAGCCTCATACCTGCATTCTTCTTGTCCAGGCTTCTCACCACAAGCTTCAAGTCCTTCTCATAGTCTTGCAGATAGTGGACAAACTCCTCAAAGTCCAGCTGTCCATCTGAGCCATGTTCTCCCCTTTTTAATGTTTTCTGTAATGAGACACGGTATCCAATTTTAAGTCAAATAAAATCAAAGAATTTGAAGAATAACACTTTATTGATGCAAAGGTGAGGATACAGTGTGGTGCTGCACTGTTTCAGTATAGTTTTGGGGAGAAACCAGCCACCAGCAGATGACCTCTTGCAGCAGTATGCAGAGAAGTCATCTGCACTGACAAACTATTTATAGTTGCTTCTGAAAACAGGCAGTGCAAGTTCTGAAACATTTGGTGCTTAAAATGTAAGTCTATCAAGCCAATCCCACAGTCCTGAACGTGACACTAGAAAGGTGCCCTGTCTTGTGTTTCATGGTTTATTAACCAAGCTGAGGCGCTCTTGGAATTCCTGACTGACATCCATTCTCCATATCCAAGGAGGAAGGAGGGTATTAGGTACTCTGCTCTCTCTCTGACCTCCACTATAGGCCAACTGTTTTAATCTCATCTAAGCTTAAACCTGCTGAGCTAAAACAGGACGAGAACATCGGTAGCCCAGGGGCTTACAGGCAGGGCTGATACCGGAGCCGCTGACCACAGTGCAGGCACATGACTGTCACAAAGTACTGACAGTACATTCAGCACATTCTGCTCTCCCTGCAGCTCACGCTAAAACACCCACACAAGTGCATAATGGGATTTGCAGCATGCAAAATCTAAGTTGTAACAATTTCTGTACTAAGGGACATTTTGGTCAGTGCATTCATATACTGCCCTTGTCTACAAATCTGAAAACCTTACAAAAAGCCATAACGTGTTGCAGGTGTTGGGACATTTGACCTTGCCAGAAGCATTAGATGTTAACTGAAGTTGACACACCAGCATGTTGACTAAATATTCAAGCCCTGCCATCAGGTCACAAGCAGAAACCTGATCCTAAGTGGAAAGCACACAGTGAAACACCTGACGGGTCAGCAGCAAAAGATTAGTTTGTTCATGTAAATGGTCTTATACTTGTATAGCGCCTTTCTATGCTTTTACAGTACACTCAAAGCGATTTCACATTATTCGGCCATTCACCCATTCGCACTCCCAAGCACTCACGCATTCACACACCGGGGGTTCAGTGTCTTGCTCAAGGACACCTCGACATGTTGACTGGACAAGCCGGGAATCGAACCGCTAATCCTCCGGTTAGGAAACGACCCGCTCTACCTCCTGTCATTTATAATAACATAGCAAACACCTCTGGGCTATGGACTTTTGGCTGGAGAAAACAAGCTATCTGAAGAGATCCCTTTGAACCGTTTTTGACATTTCATCAACGAGCCAGTTCAATGATAGGTAGCATAAGCACAAACTTTACTGCCAAGTATTATCAAAAATACAAGGAATCTGACTCCAGCCCAACGACCCTCAGTGTGCACAGCAATAAAAAAAACAGAATAAAAGCAAACAAGTATTAAAAAAAAAGAAAAGAAATATATATTTATGTACATTTTTGTCTTCCGGTTTTTTACTTGCTTTGGTGTTTTCAGTTTTTATATTGCTGTGCACACTGGGGGTCAGGTAGGAAACACATAGAAAAACAAATAAATAAATACAAGAAGCTAAAATATAAAAAGAGGCATCCAAAACCTATTTACTTTACAACACCTGTACACACAATGTGCATTTTGTAAACACACAATGCATGTACAAAGTAATGAGTGCAATGGATTACAAGTCTCAGTCATTTGCATTAAAATAATACTTCGATTTATACATATTACACAACTTTTATGTCTCATTCTTTAAAATCAGTTTCAGGAAATGACAAATTCACCTGGAAATCATAACTTCTCAAACTCACATGAATAGCATAGTTTAAAAAATTCCTTTGTACCGCGGAATTTCCCTGTAAAGTAAATGAAACAACCGGCGCCAGTTCGTTTAAGTTGATAAAATTCATATCGATTAGATTTGGAGGACGACAAGCACTTCCATTTTAAACTAAAGTTACCTTAACACTGTATTAACAGTTGTAGCGAAATGTTCACATAAATTCGGAATCCTCTGGTTTCTGGAAGCCGGTCAGCTTTGTGGCCTAGTCGTAAGGCTTTTGACACGTTAACATACGCAGATCCTTCTGGCGCCCGAAACAAAAAGATTTAGCTAGAGAGGATCGAGGTAATACGATTTAAAGTTCTTAATAGGCCTAATAAACGCTAAGGGCGATGGATTTTAACATAAAAATGCAATAAAACCCCAACTCTGGGTGCTTTATTTTTCTTACCATTCGCCACTTTTGGTAGGTTGAAAACTCCTGGGAAGACAGGAACACGCTCAGTTTGTTAAAGAGAGACTTCATCTCGGATGGCAGTCCGTTGGACTCGAAATATTCCACTTCAACCGGGTCTGAGTTGGACACGGGTACGTAAAGGCACAGGCCCAGCATGTCTGGCTCCGGAAAACTTAAAGCGCACTACAATAAATAAATAAATAGCACAAAGACTTATTTCCCTTCTCGGAGTAATAATGAAACTCCAGTAAGAAAATGCCGGTTGTAAAAGAATGGTGAAGCCACGCCTCTTCTACGTCGATGACTGGAATGTGTCCTGCCGTGTAAGTTGACGTCATTTTACTACTGACCAATCGAGGAGGCTCCCCATTGATGGGCTTGGTTCAGTCCTGCCTTCTTCTTGCGTAGAGAACAGGGAAATATCTACCAATGCCGTCCCTTCTTTCGCCGGTAAATGAGTAAAATCTTGACCAATCCCGTCTTTTCTCTCATTCAAACTGTGACAGCAGCGGCCCCAGGGTTTGCTTGGCGGTACACGAGTCATAGTAAACTCCAACAGCTAAACTAATACAAAACAATAACAAGAATAGCATTGCTACATTACATCGACCTAAAACAAAAATCCAGAACTTTCTTTAGGACAAAATAGGCACACTAATATATTTATAGACCTATCATTAGTCCAAGGACACCAGGCTACTGCAGGTGCTGAATTAGTGATTAATTATTTTATTCTTATAAAAATGACTCACCAATAATAACACAAAACCAAGAAAAAGAAAAATGAGGCTAACATGGAACATAAACAGATGAAATTTTATAAATTAAAAACTAACAATTCTGATAATAATAATAATAATAAGAGGAAAATAGGTTTGTTGTATAGCATACTTGAAAACAGACAAGAAAATAATCATAATTCAAACTAAAACATCGAGATCAGTCATTTCAGTTTTCATCTTTTATTTAAAAAAAACTGAATAGCCTAAACTAATCTGCAGTTAAAGTAGAATATAACCAATGAAAATATAAAATGTAGATATTAATGTTTAGTGGAAAAATAGTTGATTCCACCAAATGCCTGTATGAGGCAGACAAGCTGGAAGGATCAACGCTGCAGAAATTATCTTGGGACACGGCTGAGTGCCAAAAGCCAAAAAAGGCGCTGACGAAACATCAAGAGCTGCCAGCTGAACCCCTGAGCCTGTCAGCTGATTGTGTCTGGATTTACGCACAACACGCTCCTCTACATGTGGCCCAGCATTCAGAACACAGTTATGTGACTTCTTTGTGCTGATGGTGACTCATGCAGACAATAATTCACAAAATAACAGGACTTCCAGTGCAGTGGTGCATGATTACAAATATGTGACTGATACAGAAAACATTTCTCTATTTATTAAGTTTATTTAGGTTTGACAAAAGGTCACACAAATATGTGGACAAATGTTCACCTTTGTAGGGTTTCCATGTTACTCTGAACTTTAAGGTTTTGGTCATTGTTAAAATATAGGATTCACACTCATAACTGCTGTTCACTGGTGCTGATAAGGCTGCATGTCTATTAGTAATGAAAAATGTAATGAGGCTGAAAAATAAGATGTTTTCACACTTTTTACAAACATTTTTTCAATGCTCAAACTGTTTTTTCAAGCCTTTACACTATTGGTCTTTAGCATGTTGGACATGTCATTGGTGTATGATTTGATTAACTTTAAACTGTATTTTCAAAGATCTAAAACCTTGCAAACTCAGCAGTCCATGAAGGCACCAGTTAAAGTCCACGGTGAAAACAAACTTTTTTTTTTTTGCCTGTGCATTCAATCGTCGTCACAGATCACAAAGTAAACGATAACTGTTACGACAAAGCCACGTTCTGTTGTTCAACAGCACTTTAACCTGCAGGATCAGACAAACAGTCCCCAGCTGCAGGAACAACACAGGCGTGAGGTGGGGTGCAGGACTCATTAACAGGGAACCCTCAGAGTCAACACAATGAACTGACGTTGTTTTGACGAAGAAAAAGTGCCACTTTGCAGCTGGATTTTGCCCTAAGTTGTCAGTTTATTAGGTACACTGAGCTAATGGAGGCTAATACAGTCCTGCAATAAACCCTTCTTCATGAAGGTAAAAATGTTCAGTATGATATTTGATACATGAGGTTTCTGAGCAAAAAGAATCACCAAAAATGCCCCATGTATCAAATGTGATACAAAAGAAATAAAAATAATTTAAATAATATGGCACCTCTATTCTTATATGCCTGGACTGTCTGTCTATGCATATGGCAAATAAAAATTGTGAATCTTTAATTTCGAATCATGAATTATATTTTGGACTTTGTTAAAAGGTTTAGTAAACATCTCAGTTCCAGAACATTAGAATGTTCTGGCTATTTTTGATATGTTGGGCTTTACAGGGTTAACAGTTTTAGAAAGGTGTCGACTCATCTGTATGATGTTTTTGGAAGATATAGTTTGTGCTACTGTTGAACTGTATTGTCTTTATCATCCTGTCCACCCCATTTATATTAATGAGGCTGGGCTTAATTACAAAAACAGCTCTTTGTATAATGCAGCACCTTCCTGAAACAAAGCCTGAACATTATCTCCTTCATGAAGGAGGATTTATGGCAGGACTGTTGTATCAGACTATGTTAGCTATAGGTGTACCTAATAAACTGGCGTCTGAGTGTAGTGCTTTTGCTGATGAGTTGCTAGTGGGACAAAGGTAGCACGACATTCCCTGGCATCAGTTCACCTGTTAATGAATCATAAAGTTAGCCAGTGTGAGAATGAAGCCAAGATATTGTGGAAAGTGTATACATTTCTTTGTTAGCTGGCACTGTGACCTAGTTAATATTTGTTAACATGAGGTCTTATCAAAATGTCATGAAAAATCTTTTATAAAATGTCAACCTACCAACCTTATGCTAACAACACAAATTTATGTTTCTCCAGATCTATGTCAGCTTTCGTCAGACTGAAGTGATAGACTGACTTTTTGTCACTTCTTTTGAAAAGGCCTATTTATACCTTTTTTGGGAATTACTTGTGTGAATAAATGTGAGTTCTGAATATTTTCAAGGATTTATACATAGACTTTCAGTGAAGAAAGCACAAAAATAATTAGGAATAAAATCACTTTATAAATACTCTAGTTTTATTTTTCACATGCCTCTGCTGTATTTTGTGTTTAAATAATAAAATATTTAAACTTTTACTTATATTACTATGAGATAAATTCATCTCTGAATCCTGGAACACATTACATCATATCAGTAGCCTATGTGTAGAACAAGGTGCTGCATTAGATTTCTTCAGTACTCTGCTGCTCTCTGTTGGCTGAACCTGAGCTGAAGTTCAATTAAAACTGAACAAACCTGTG